GTCCAGCTGAGTATCTGCTACCTCCACAAAGCAATCCCACTTAAACAATAAACTGTATTGGCTGTAGCCACCTGAACAAGGAGTTGGATGTGGAGGGGGTTATAATACGCCTCAAAATGAGGCATGACAGAGAGATGATGCTGGTGGTCTAAAATGACAGCAGTGATGAGTCAGCCATTTCTCTTCGGGACCCCTTGTCACAGAGCATTTCTGTTCTGCACTGTGTCATTTCTCAGAGATTCCCACACACAGCCAGGAGGAGCTGTGGCCACTTTCAGTGTACCTGCAAGCTCATTGGTCACTAATAACATTTAGTAGCATTAATAAATCAGTTAAGGCAACATTGTTCAGTGCTCAGTGTGGTGCAACGGACACTTGGACTTTTCAGCAGCCCAGGGCAGGAGCAGTGAGAAAAGGAATCCAAAATCATTTGTAAGCCCATGAACTTAGTCCAGTGCTATGCAAGTCAGTGTTTTGCAACTGGCCAAAGAAAAATGGAGAATGCACAGAGGTGGTGAGGGCAGGGGAAGTACAGAATGCAGATTAAATGGACTTTTATCACCTTGTAGCCTTCGATGTATTTTATGTGTAAAAAGAAAAAGAAATCATATCCCAGAAGAACTTGTGGACCCTGCACCTGCTGGGAACCAAGGCAGCACTGCAGGGCTGCATTTGGATTGACACAGGAAAAAAAAAAAACACAAGAAGAAAGAAATAATATCGGAGCAGACAGATAACGGGGTTGCCTCACTGGCCTGTCTTTGTCTGGAGATATGCAGAAGGTTCATGCATGCGTAGAAAATCGCCTGTGTCCCGAGCTGTCAGCCGGTACGAAAACACCCCGCGCGGGGCAGAGGGGAGCTGTGGGGCGCGGCTGCAGAGCAGCGTGCCCGTCGGAGCAGAACTAACGCGGAGCTGCTCCATTATTCATCACGGCCTCCCTCCGGGGAGCGGCTCTTTCCCCGCGGGTGCGGGAGGGACTCGGAGCCCCCGCAACCCGGGCACCCTTCGAATCCCGGACAGAGCTCTCCGCGCACCGCCGCCCGCGCCCGGCCCCGCCGAGACCCCGCAGCTCCCCCGCAGCTTCCTCTGCTCCTCCGGGAGGCCCGGCTCACCTTGATCCTCTCCACGGCGGCCTCCAGCTTCAGCTGCTCCACCAGGCGCTGCATGGTGCTCAGGCTGCCGGCCGACGACATGACGGGGCAGGCAGGAACGGGATGGAGCGGAGGAGATCCGTGCGGTGCGGTGCGGCTCGGCTCTGCCGGCACCGCGGGAGCCGCCCGGGGGAGGGGCCGCCGCCGCTCCGCCCCCCTAAGCGATCCTCGGGTGGTGATCTCCACCTTCCATCCGCGACTCCGACTTTTTTCCTTCGAGATGCCGTTGTGCCGGTCTCTTCTTCCTAAGAACCGATAGCAGGACGCGTGGGAACGGCGCGAAGCTGCGCCGGGGAGTTCAGACTGAACATAAGGAAGCATTTCACAGAATCACAGAAACACCAAGGTTAGAAAATACCTACAAGATCATCCGGTCCAGCCATCCACATCCACCTATCACCAACAGTTCTCACTAAATTTCTAAATTTCTTCACCGTGAGGGTGGTAAAACACGAGAGAGGCGGTTACTGCCCAACGCCTACCAGTGGCCAAAGGGTATTTGGAGAATGCTCTCAGTAGCATGCTTTAACTTTTGGTTAGCCCTGAAGTGCTCAGGCAGTTGGACTTGATGTTCTTTGAAGGTCCCTTCCAACAGAACTGTTCTGTTCCATTCCATTCTGTTCTGTTCTGTTCCCTTGTTAGACACACACTTTCACAAGACCTCACCCTACGCAGCATGGTCAGTTCCTGTTCATGCAGGCAGTTCCCTTCAAAGTCCACTTATGCTGGATTCACAAGGCATAATAACACTACTGTCAGTGCTATCACTGCACTTTTCTCAATCTGTGTATGATATTGCTTTGTGGACTCAATTTCAAGATAAAATAGGGCCTAAAATATGTGACTAAGATGCATATATTTAGAACTAAAATAAGACTTCAGGCTATAAGTGATTAGTGACCCAGCTAACAAGGTGTCACTGCAACCTGACAGCTCTGTGACAGACAATTGTTTCTTTTGGCCTCTATCACAGAAATGTAAATGGCACAGCCCAGCAAACTCTGCCTGCAACCCATGAGCTTATGCCTCTGTCTAGGTATTTTCAATGGGTTCATGTGTAGAGAAAATTAGAAATTCAGAATCAACACCACAAAAGAGCAATGGCTCTTTTCCACCCAAAGCAGAATACCTGCTGATTTTCCCTTCTGCACTTGATTTTGGGCCATCGTTTTACAAAAACAAGGTGCTACTGCTGCTGAAAGACACGGTTCTGTCCTCCCTCGGAATGCCCTGCCATTGCACCTTTTAATTGCTACAGGATCAGGTCAGAAAATTAATCTTGGTCAGAACTAACCTAAAAAGGGGGAAGATAGATGTGTGATTTGGGTCTTGCCTGCTTATTTCTGTGACCCATTTTATCACACAAACACTCTTCTATGGTATGACGGGTGGAAACTAGTGTGAGAGCAGCTGAGCTGATAGCTCTTTGCCTGTGAAATTGTGTCTACATAGAGGTACACTGCTGGCTTCTTTTGCAGAGATAACTGCCTGACCTTACTGGGTAAGCAGCACCGTTTCACTCATTTGTACTCATTTTTGCTTTGTATTTGCCACAGAAACTACTTTTTTTTTTCTTCTCCACTCTTGCAGGAGGCTGAATATGTTGTGGAAAAAGAGGTACTACATCCAAGCTGTGAAGGTGTCCAACTTGACAAACATCTTTGTGGTGTCTCTGGAACATCACTACAAGGCCAATAAGGTTATTTCCTGAGAACAAGCATGACTTATTCTGAACGTTTTCTTTAAACAAACCTAAAACTTGGTTTGACCTTTAAGTATAGATTGAATTAAGCTTACAGCAGCACTATATGGCAGCAGAGATTAAGGACAAAACTAGAAACTTCCTTTGATTTTTGGAAATGCACATGGAAGTTAGCCATTCAGGATAGTGCTTCTGACATATTTTTGGATATATGTTATTTCAAACACAAAACTGAGATAACATTCCAAAAACTACTGAGAGCTAAATTAGCAGAAGAGGCACCAAGAAGTGAAGGTCTTCCTCAAAGGATGTGGGACAATGAAGTGATTGCAAATAGCTGGCATAGGTTTAGTGAAAGGCAGGTCTTGCCTGACCTCCTTCTATGACAAGGTGGCTCAACTTAGCAGATGACGGACGGGCTGTGGATGCTATCTACCTAGATTTTAGTAAAGCATCTGACACCATCTCATCTCCCACAGCATCCTTGTGGAGAAATTGGCTGCTCCCAGCTTGGACAGGTGCACAGTTCACTGGGTGAAGTTCTGGCTGGCTGGCAGGTCTCAAAGAGCCATAGTGAATCATAGAGAATGATTGGAGATCATGGAGTTCAGTCCAGCTGGTGGCCAGTCGCCAGTGGTGTTCCCCAGGGCTCAGTGTAGGGGACAGTTTTGTTTAACATTTTTATCAACAACCTGGACAAGGGGATTGAGTCTACCCTCAGGAAGTTTGCAGAGGACAGCAAATTGGTCTGGACTGTTGATCTGATAGAGGGTAGGGGGAATCTGCATTGGATAGGTTGGATTGATGGACTGAGACCAGCCACATGACACCCAACAAGGCTCAGTGCTGGGCTCTGCACCTGACCCACAACAGCTCCACGCAGAGGTACAGGCGTGGGGCAGAGTATCTGGAAAGCTGCCCAAAAGAAAAGGACCTGGGGGTGCTGATTGATGCTCAGCTGAACATGTGCTAGCAATGCAACCAGGTGGCCAAGATGGCTGATTGCGTCTTGGCTTAAATCAGAAATAGCATCACCAGTAGGACTAAGGAAGGGACTGCCTCCTTGTGGTGAGACCACATCTTGAATACTGTGTTGTTTGAGCCTCTCACTGAAAGAAGGACGTTGAGTTGCTTGAGGCAAGCAACTAAGCTGGTAAAGGGACTGGAAAAGAAGATGTATGAAGAGTGGGTTGTTTAGTCTGGAGGAGGCTGAAGGAAGACCTCATCTCTCTCTACAGATACCTGAGAATGTGACTGCAGCAAGGTGGATGACAGCCTCTTTTCTCAAGTGACAAGCAGTAGGATGCAAGGTAGTGGCCTGAAGCTGCACTAGGAGAGGTTTAGATCTTTCTATCTGAAAGAATTTCTTCAGAGTCTGACTACACAGGAAGGTGGTGGAACTGACAAGTGAACACTGAGGAGAATGGCTTACTTATGGAACTCAGTAGGTCAGGTTGATGGTTTGGCTTGGAGATCTTAGGTTTTTTTTTTTTCAAATTAAACGATTCTATGATTGGTTGCTCATCTTGGCAGAATCAGAACTGTCTTACATCAAAAATTGGTCTATAAGCACTTCAAAGCTTCTAGCTATTACAAGTGTTGGAAGCAGTGGCAAGTTTAAGAGACCTTCTCCCAGAACCAACCTGCACAGATACAGATCTTCACAGACATGAGAAGAGACAGAAGCAGCCCAATCTGGCTGCAAACCCTGAGTACTTTTTCCCCAGTAAAGTTTTCAAGTAGAAATACGGAAATCATAACCTGGAAACGTGGGAACTCTGACTTGGCTTCAGTTACAGACGGAAGCAAAGGGAACTATTGTGTTCTAAGTACGCTGATGTCTGATCAGAAGAATCAGAATGGATAAAGAATACTTCAGGTTTAAATTTAAAACAAATCCAGGATGTATATTATATAAACTTTTATTTACATAAGGCATCAAGATTGCCCTTTTAAACAAAGGGTCATTTTCCCTTTACCAATACTTTGGTGAAAGAAGTTTCACATTTAGTTGACTAGTATTCACTGGTACGCTTGTTCTGAACATGTAGGTACAATCTAATGTACAAGATTAAAAACCAAACGTAAGTGACTTCAGTATGCTATTTCATGAACCACTCTGCAGAACAAAGAATTAAGGCTGGTTTGCACCATAACGGTGATCAATCATGCATCATTTATTCCCACAAAGAATAAAATTCATTTCCAATTGGAGAGGGAATAGCAAAAGAAGTAGTCTGGTATAATCCCCATTTTGTCTACATCAAAAAACAATTTGGCATTTTAAAAAGTAAGTTGAAAAGTAGGTGGAAGAGAAGAGGAAAGTAAGAAATGGCCCTTGCTTCAGAGTCCTTACCAACAATTTCAATTTCCAGTGTTCACTCGCATGAACCCTTCGGTTTAGAATCAAGAACCGAGACTTCCAAGGACAGATCAAGAAACAGTTTCAGAAAGATTGAAATTACGATTCCATTGACCATGAGAATGAAATATGTAGAGGAAATACATTATTTGAAATAATGAATTCCACATTAAGATCCCCATGTAAGATATACACATTGAGTTATGCCTGTTTAATAATTCTGATTTATAAAAACCGTAAACCTGTACTATTTTTCGGCCTCATTTAATAATTCCTGAGTTTTAGATCACTGCCAAACCAGCAGATAAAACTCTGAATGATGTAGCAAAAAGTTTCGCAGATCACTGCCGACATCAGCACACACTGTGTTCAGCAACTTTCAATCATCAATGAAAGTCAGTCTTCCAGGTCCTTCATTTCTCATCCACCTCCGATACCTCTTCCATCGGGGATCCAAGGCCATCTTCTTCTTTAACTCCTCCTCTTGTTCTTGTTTATAGACCTGAAAGACAGACAGAAGTTTTTGTAAAGCTGAAGAAAAATCTTAAGTGAACCTGAAGAGAGGTGTAAACAGTAATACTTCAACCCTCCGTCACCTTGATTTCAAAGAAAGCTGAAAAGCAACAAGCAAAAGACCACGACCTACATGTGGTGTATGAGCCTTCAGCAAGGAGCCTAAAAGCTGTAGTTGAGATGCTCTGGATTTCTGCTGACAGCAGAACTACTTTGTTGCAAGACTGTGCTGTAATGGCTAGCACAATTTTACTGTTTGCTTGTTTTGCCAAAGAACTAAATGCCCTGCAGTCAACAAAATGAAATTTGCCAGTAAAGAACTGGTTTGAATCTCAGTCCAGCACACGCACCATTCAACACAGCTTAGCTTCTCACTTTTATTTTATTTTTCACCTTCAGTTAGACAGAAATAAACCTTCTTTTTCCTAATTCAGTTTAAGTTAGAATCTCTGTAGTAAGTATTGATGGTAGGGATGACAAATATATAAAATATGGCAAGAAAAAGTGTCACTGCTGATATCTGTAGATTTCAATAGCAGTCATGTATCTAAAACAGGCAGCAGTATGTTGCACAGCAGATCACCTAGATACATGCACTATATTTCAACAAGATACTATGTTTATGTAATCTGAAGTCTACCTGTAAGCAAAGATTTTGAAAGAGCCTTTTTTTTTTTAAATATTCCTGATGACTGTATAAATACACAAGCTCAAGGTTCAGTGATCATGCAGATTTTAAAAATTACCAGGAAAGCAACAGAAGAAAACATGTTTTTATTGAGCTCCGCAATGTGCCAATATATTGAATTCCCACTCGTTCCCAGAAGGACATTGGAAAAAACTAAATATGCAGACAGGCAGCTGCTATAAGAGAAGTAACATATAAGCTATTTTCAGCCTTGAAAAGACAAGACTGAGTCTTTTAGTAAGTCTATAGTAGTGGTACAGAGAAGAACTGGCAGCATAAGAGGAATGATTATTTCTCCCTACAATTTATTCTCCATATAACCAGCAGGTGTCTGGGGCCTTAAAATATATATATATCTATTCTCTGAAGATACTGCTGAACTCACAACCAGATAGCAATGCAAACACTGAACTTCTTAATGCAACCAAGGAATAGCTAGGTATGTTTACTGAAGAAAAACTAATTAAAGATGTAAACTACAAAGGCACCATTTCCTGTTCAGGAAGTTCCAAAGTTGCAGATTGCAAGGGGGAAATACTGCTACATGGGTGCAAATTTCTTGTATTCTTCACTAAAAATCACCTGCTGGCCACCACAGATGACTTTGGGCTAAAGAGACTTCCCTCTTATAAACACAGCTCTTTTACACTCAGTGAACAGAACAGCAGTTCGAAGCAGCAACTCAAACCATGAAAAGTTTCCTCTGCAACAGAATACCTATTCTACCCTACATTTTCCTTAGGACATCTGCTTTGACTACTAACATTACTAGATCTTCAAGCTTTCAGATTGTTTTCGAGAAAACCTAATCTAATTCGACATGCATGGCTAATCTGATGGCTATTCCTCTCCTTACATTAGCATCAATTCTAGCATTTTTCTCTTCAAGTTTCTAAACTAATCCAGTTCTGACTGTTTTCAAGGTGATATTCCCTATGGTGCGTCTCATCAGAAGCAAAAGCAGTTCTGCCATCTTTTTTTGGAGAAGGCAAGCTGCAGCAACATCTTTTGGGCAGGACAAATCCTCCTTCTCAGTTTCACTTCTGGAAGTCTCCTACCCAGATGGCCCACAGATGAGCTTCAATACAACAATAAGAGTGCTTTGTCAGTCTGCCACCTCCTGGCACCCCAAGTTGTCTGGAATGCAAATTACATGCTGGGGCTCATGCTCTTTCATTGCTCTCACAGAAAGCTTGAGAAAAATTATGTATTTGCTGTTTTGTAACTGGCTATCCCAGGAAAGAAGCAGCAGTTGTGCCTTGTGATACTTCATATACCATTTTTAGTTAAGCTGGAACACAGCACAGAAAGAACAGCCTCAGACTCAGTGGAAGCAAAAGAATAGTTATAAAAGGGATAGTTATCAAAAACAAGCTAGGAATTCATGGCTCAGGAGACTAATAAAACAAGAGTTTCAGGTGATCCAGGTAGTCTTCATTACAAAATTATTATTATTTGGAGAACCGTGCTCTTTAATGTACTGCAAGAACTTTATTATGTCACATGGTCACAGGACAGCCTGTCATCAGATCCAATTAACCTTGTATTCACAGACTGGCTGACTATCACAGGTGGATTCAACGCCTAAGCAAGTGAATCCCTTCTTTTATCAATGGGCATGTCCAGGAGCTGCTGCCTATCAGCAAGTGAACATAAGATGATGAAGAAAACAAACCAAGTGCTTCTCTAACCATTTCAAATGTAGACAGCAACAGCTAGAACTGAAGCAGGGCTTCCCCCATCACTGTTCCAAAGACCTTTGCAAGGTACCTGCTCTTACTCTGGGTGCATAACTAACATTATCTTTTCCTCCCCGGCCACTCACCTCATAGTTTTCTCGTATCCACAGCTGCCGCTCAAGAAAGGTCTCTTTTTGATGATCTTCCAGGCTGTCAAACTGAGACTGAGACATTTTCATGTATCTCCGTATGATATACAGCTTCTCTTCTACACCATATTCTTGGCCTTTAATAGTGAAACAATAAATCCACCAACAGTACCAAATTACATACTTGCACAAGTAGAAAGGAGCTAGAAGGATTTGAAACAGAAGGATATCATATATCTTGGGCTTCTGATAACCGCCTTTTATATCTATTTTATTTTTAATAATGTCTTTGATGATTTCTTCCTCTTCTTCACGAATTTCTTCTTTAGACCTCCTGTTCTTGCCTTTTTCTCTGGTCTTGTTGAGTAAACCTTGTTGCTTGGCAATCTCAGTAGCTTGTATACGGTATTTTGGCACTGTAGCTAGATAGTTGATAGCTTCATTGTAACTACTCCACCAGCTGAAGAACTGTAATTTAAGAACAGTAAAAAAAAAAAAAAAAAAAAAAGGCAATAAAAGCCATGTTTTGATATGGACACATTTCTATTTGGAGCTTTGCCAGAATAAAATATGCTGCTGTATACCTTTAACCACAATTGTATTACAGTGACGGTGAAAACTAAAGGCAACAGCACAACTTCTGTAGAACCTGTAATTATTGCTCCAAACCTGACAAGGAACCTGGGAAACAGACACAACTAATATGCATACTGCTGCGTGATATGCACGGAACATGTATGTATGTGTGATGCATATTTATCACACAGAAATATACAGTGGCAAAGAAGGTCAAGCAGAGTGTAAAGAAGGACATTGCTCACACTGGGTTTGCTCATGAGAAGATGGTTATCTCCCACTGCTTCAAATGAAGCTTGCACTGGGCTGTGGTGGCCATGATCAGAAGTCCAGCATATGAGCATTTCATTACAAAATTATTACCCACTTTACATAATTAATTAACCATAGCTTACTTACATGACAATCTTGTTAGTTGGACAGGATTGACTTTACAAGATTCAATACCTCACTCTAATCTTGAGCTACCCTCTGAATTTCAAGTGGGAAAAAAGAACAACACAAATAACGTTTGAGATGAACATGCCATTTTGTGCCTTTTTTTTTTTAACAGCAGCATGCCCATTTGTGAAAACAACAGAGCAGGCAGGTACACTCTTTATATTCTTAACAAAAGAAGCAGAAACACCAATAAGCAAGAGAAAAGCAAATCAGTTTGCTAATTCAGAACAGCTAATTTTGCTAATTCAAAAACAGGCTTGGGAAGACTGCGTAGAGGAAATGGACCTGGGGGTATTGATGGATGCTCGGCTGAACAGGAGCCAGCAGTGTGCCTGGGTGGCCAAGAAGGGCAATGGCATCCTGGCTTCCATCAGGAACGGTGTTGCCAGCAGGAACAGGGCAGTGATTGTCCCCTGTACTCAGCTCTGGTGAGGCCACACCTCCAGGGCTGTGTCCAGTTTTGGGTCCCTCTCTGCAAGGAAGACATTGAGGCCCTGGAGCGGGTTCAGAGAAGGGCGACAAAGCTGGTGAGGGGTCTGGAGCACAGGGTTTATGGGGAGCGGCTGAGGGAGCTGGGAATGTTCAGCCTGGAGAAGAGGAGGCTCAGGGGAGACCTTATTGCTCTCCATAACTACCTGGAGGGAGGCTGTAGTGAGCTGGGGGCCGGCCTCTTCTCTCGTGTCATCAGTGATAGGACCAGGGGGAATGGTTTCAAGCTACGGCAGAGGAGATTCAGACTGGATGTTAGGAAATACTGCTTCTTTGAAAGAGTGGCCAGGCACTGGGATGGGCTGCCCAGGGACGTGGTGGAGTCACTGACCCTGGAGGTGCTCAAGGAACGTTTGTATTTTGTGTTGAGGGATATGGTTCAGTGAGAACTATTGGTGATAGGGGGATGGTTGGACTGGATGATCTTGTAGGTCTTTTCCAACCTTGGTGATTCTGTGATTCTGTAATTCAGTGTAAACTTGTATTTAATCATCTAGGAGGTGACCTACAGGCAAAGTGAGTGTTCCCACTTATAGCCAAAATAAGAGGTGAAATGTAAAACTGTAATTAGAAGTAAGTCTGATGAAAAATTACATATTTGGCTGAGTATGCCACTAGAACGTGTTATTTCAAACTCTCAAAATCTGATCAACATGTTTTGTTGGGCTTTTTTGCCTTCCAATTAAAAAGAGAGTTATCTGTACCACAGACCAACCTGCATTTTCATCTCCTAAATACCAACTTTGGGAGTTTCCTTAAGGAAGTCTGGAATCAATAATCTAATGGATGCTAAACAAAATAATTATATACTTTCTTCCAGTTAAGTAATTGCCAGCAAAAGCACAAGTTTTCTCATCTCAAACACTGACCGTTTCCTTGAAAATGGAACTACCTACCACACTTAGTGAAGAAACTTCACTAATCTGCCCTTTAAAGTAAACTACTGTATAAAATACACGTTAGCAAACAACACTACTGATACTTCGTATTGTCATCTAAACTGAGTTTTGAGTTTAGACTGCAAGTGGCCTGTTAAAAAAAATAACCTCACACAGCTTGAAAACCTGACGCCCACCTTGCAGCACCAGCCCCTTCTGTGCACAGGAACAGGCTGTCCTCAGCCTGCCATGGAGAACTAAGTGTCTCCTCTAGGAGAGCTGCACTAGTCTGTACAAAATACTCCACTGTGTAAATAAGCCAATCACTAATTGATCTGTGCATCTTTGACCAAGCTACCAAGTGCACAAAATCCGCTTGGCACACCCTGACTGCAGATTTGTTACAGATGCCAGGGGCACGTTTGCCACAGCAGCCATAGAAGAACCTCCTTGCTGGCACTGTTTGAAGGCTGGCATGCTATGAGACCTGCAGATGATTCTCTTCCATTTCAGAAATTCACAGAGCATTGCCACATGAAAGTGAGATCTTACCTGAAACACAGAGATGGCACACACCGTAACGAGAATCACTATTCGGACATCCACTTTAGGTGCCAATCTCCTGCTGTAGTAGTGATAGTAGTGTCTGTAATACTCTTCAGGATGATCCAACATGTAATCATAATCTTTACGTGTTTCTTCATCCTGTAGAATCAGAGATGACAAGCATGTGTAGGTTCAGATGGCTGTTTTCACTTACTCTGTTACCGTTGTGTTTTACATCTCATGAAGGACTGCGCTGTTACAAATTCTGCAGAAGAACAGCCATGAAGCACTGAGGAAATTCTTTCATCATTTTCCTGTACACTAAATTAATTTGTTCTTACCCTCATCAGCCCACACACAGCTTACAAACATGCGGGCTTAAGTACCTATAGTATAGATTATAAGAAGACTTGATTTAATACTGAAATAAAGACAGGCAACTGAAATTCACATAATCAGCAAACCTATTTTCTGAATCAGATACTGAGGGAGCTGGAACTGATAGACATTGCTCACAAAAAGATTTCCAGAGGAACCAAATAGCAAAAGACTGTTTTTCAAATCTTTCAGGATTTGCTTATGGGGCCAAGGAATCTGTCTGGTGTTAGGATGTTTCAAAACCTCATTGTTCCCATTTTCTTGAGCTATTTCTCATTTTGACCCACAGAATAATGAGACGAGAAATTTAACTTTGTCAGCCGTAACTGCGTTCCTCTTCTACTCCAGAAAGTTCCAGTTTGTTTTCCCCGTGGACCCTCAAGCACTTGCAGGTTTCCATCTCCCATTTCTTTGGCCACACCGTGGCCAGCCCACACGTTTTCACCCTGCCTGGATTTGCTTACAGGTCTCACACGCTGTCAATTTGCTGCTTACCGACGCTTTTTCGCTTAAAGATACGGCTGTACAAGAAGTCTAACTTCAGAGGTGCTTCCAAGGGCAGCCCGTCCTCCCCCCACGCTCTCGGACTATCGCAAAACACCGGCGGCGTTTTCCTCCCTCGGCTGAGCCCACACAAAGGAACGCCAAGCCGATCGACTCCTCGCGATCCGCCGCACTACACAGACGCGCCCCATCCCGAGGTCCGACCTCTGCGAGCGGAGCCGCTCGGGCGGCCGCGGGTCAGCGCCA